GACATTCTCTGTTGGATCATTATAGTAGCTTTCATGATCCACTTAATGGTTCTTCCTTTTATCCTCCTGCCCAAGATGGTCAGCAGCATGTGGAGTAGGTACATGAAGAGGGGGAACACATGAGGTGCCTATGCACTGAGAAAGGACTCCCTGGAAAGGGACTCCCTAGAGAGGGACGCCCTGGCATTGGGCCACACTGGGGGGCACCTTGGCTGCCAGAATGGAGAGGTTGTGGTACCTCTCCTATCGGAGGGAGTGGTGCTCCTCCTACAGGTTGATGGGCTATATCCCCTGAGGCGAGTATCAATTGGAGAATTTGTTGGTTTTGATTCACCAGCAACTGTATAGTCTCCAACAGCTATTGTCCGACTATAGGATTCGCCATAGTAGACAGTTTTGCTAGTGGAGGCGGAGGCGGAGCCTCTTCCCGACAAGCTAGGTCGTTGTCTTCGGGTTGTTGATTCATTGACTTGATTGTGATTGTCATGGATTTGAAAGAAACTAGAAAGGTAGTAGAAAACTCAGTCGTTTCCCACAGACGACGCCAAACTGATGATGCACAATCAACAGTCGAGTGTATGATGCTAAGTAATTAATGAGACAATCAATAAAGTAATTAATGAAAGAGACAAAGATTAATTTAACATACATATATATATAGTGATTTGGTTAAGGTGACATAATCCACTTTGAAGGAGGCGACAGTGGCCGGAGAACTTTATTAATAAAGTAGATGATGGGGGAGANAGTGATTCGGTCAATGTGACATAATCCACTTTGAAAGAGGCAACAGTGGCCGGAGAACTTTATTAATAAAGTAGATGATGGGGGAGAGAACAAAGGTAAGCTCTTGGAGAGATTGGGTAGCTATCAGAGAGATATCTCTAAGAGATGTAGAGGTGTGTAAAAAGTGTCTCTCATGTGTAGATGACTTACAATTTATATATACAGAACCTTGGTTGAAGCGGTGATGTGATGTGATAGATAACTAATCCTTCGGAGAGGATAGCTATAACTAAGGATATGTACAATTAAAGATGGTCTCGATCTTCAAGTGGCGGTCACCCCGACAATTACTCTCCACCTGGACTTCTTGAACTTTGTATTGGACTTGACCTGCTTTGTAGGTGATTTGAGCTTACTTAATTAATTAGGTCTGACCTAATTGAATCTGGGTTCATCAAGTATTACAATCTAATTAATCTATTTAAAAATATAATAAACCTAAAATATAATTAGGTACACAAATATTTTAAAAATAACAATCTTATAGTAAAGCTCCATTATAAAACAAAAGAAGAAAAATTGAAAAGGGTGAAAAAATATCTAACAAAATGATAAATTAAATATTCAAGGAGAGGTATAATAAATTAATAATAAAGTTTAATAATTAAGATAAAAATTAATTATTTAATTTAATTATAAATAAAATTTAAGATTTTTATACAAATTTATTATTTAAATATATTCGAGTTCTTAAATTACCAGTTGCTAGAAATAGCCCTCCTCATATAATTGACTGTAGGACCTTTTTCCGTTCCTCCTAACCATACCAGGGTTAAAAATGAAAATGAGGGGTGGGGTTCAACTAGGGCAATATAAAATGAAGGTATGAGACACCGAATTGCCCAAATCTCATTAGTTTAAGAATGAGGCAAGCACAGAGAGGAGGGAGTTTCTAAGGGTGGTTGCCCCTCTCTGTCACACCGCCGATGATTTCACAATGAACTCAATAATCAACAGCCCTTTTTCCGTCTTTCATACACACACACAAACATATATGCTCTCTCTCTCTTTCTCTCTCNTGTGTTGATTAAAACATATTGGTCTAGTATCATAAAACATAAGAACTAGAATTGCAATTTGGTCAATGTCATTTATAAACGATAAGAGTTTGATGATTACAATAGATTGGAAATGGGTTGAAAAAAATCCTAAAATTAAGTGAAAATTATTGTCATCAGATTGGGATGAAGAAAGTGCAAATCCAAGTATGTGTTGGAGAATCAAGGGCATTATTGTTTCCACCTTCATTACTATTTTTTTCCTACATCTTTTCTGATATAGGTTTTTTTTTTTTGTGGATCATCCACTATTAGTGAACGGGGATTGATTTATAAACCACGGGTGTCACTTTAATATTTTAATACATGGTAGGTGATCAAGAGAACTCCACAGACAGCCTCTTAAAACAAGAACAAGAATTCTATCTACTTCAATGATTCCCTTTTAAGGTTTTTTTTGGATCTGATTCCCTTTCAAGTTCGGGTGTGGGTATTTCTACACCTTAAATTTGATTTTTCATTCTATTTAACTATCTTATTTTAAATTATTAAATTTATTTTTTGTATATCCATTTCATTAGTTACTGAATTTACCCCTTTATATTCACTAATTAAAATTTTAGTTTATTTAATTTTATTTTAACTATGATTTTGGTAAAAAAAAATTTCAACAATAGAATAAAAATTAATTATTATTTTTAAAATATTAGTTAAAATATACTAAAATATCTTAAAACACCTTAAAATATTTAAAAGACATTAGTGAAAATATATTAANAATTTAGTTTATTTAATTTTATTTTAACTATAATTTTGGTAAAAAAAAATTTCAACAATAGAATAAAAATTAATTATTATTTTTAAAATATTAGTTAAAATATATTAAAATATCTTAAAACACCTTAAAATATTTAAAAGACATTAGTGAAAATATATTAAAATATTTTAAAACACCTTAGAATAATATATAGATCACTTCAAAATATTGAAATTTGCTTGAATTACTATTTTTACTTCGGTTTTTTTGACACATGTTTAATAGTTAATTAAATGAGTATAAATAGAGTGAATTTATAACTAATAGGGTGAGTATTGATAGGGTATATTTAGTAGTTTGAAATAAGATGATTAAATAGGGTGGAAAAAAAAATTACAGGGTGGGAATATCCCACCCTTTAAGTTCTTGGAGCTATTAGAGCATCTCCGGTTCTAACATTTTTTATATCCNAATAAGATGATTAAATAGTTAGGAAAAAAAAATTACAGGGTGGGAATATCCCACCCTTTAAGTTCTTGGAGCTATTAGAGCATCTCCGGTTCTAACATTTTTTATACCCAAATTTAAATTTTGGTAAAAATAGTCTAAAATGTATCTATGTTAGACCCATACTTATATTAAATGAACATAAACTTTTTTTTTTTAAAATCTAAATTAANAGTAAGATGATTAAATAGGGTGGAAAAAAAAATTACAGGGTGGGAATATCCCACCCTTTAAGTTCTTGGAGCTATTAGAGCATCTCCGGTTCTAACATTTTTTATACCCAAATTTAAATTTTGGTAAAAATAGTCTAAAATGTATCTATGTTAGACCCATACTTATATTAAATGAACATAAACTTTTTTTTTTTAAAATCTAAATTAAGGGAAATCCTTTTTTAAATCCAAATTTTTAATGTTAAGATTGTACTATTTTTTAAAGATTCAATGGTTATATTTTATTTTTTTTTCAATATGGGTTTGTCTACATTTAAACTTATATTTCTCTTCCTTTAAATTTGAGTNAATTAAGGGAAATCCTTTTTTAAATCCAAATTTTTAATGTTAAGATTGTACTATTTTTTAAAGATTCAATGGTTATATTTTATTTTTTTTTCAATATGGGTTTGTCTACATTTAAACTTATATTTCTATTCCTTTAAATTTGAGTGTATCGGTTGGAGATGTCTATACCAAAAGAAACTTTTTATTCTTTTTTTTTAACTCAATAGTCAANTCTTCCTTTAAATTTGAGTTTATCAGTCGGAGATGTCTATACCAAAAGAAACTTTTTATTCTTTTTTTTTAACTCAATAGTCAATATGTTTCCATTCGAGATGGGCTAAGAGCATATCAAAATTGAGATGTCTTATTTGAATTTGAATGTTTATGTGGCTTTCGATATAATTGTATTTTAACCGATATATTAAAATAATTTATTTTATTACCTATTTACCTTTAATTTTTTTTCTTTTTAAATTTGTTTGAAAACTTTTGTATTAAATTTTTTTTTACTAAATAAAATAATGCATTTAAAGATTTAACATAGCAAAGAGGTTATATTAAATTTGGAATAATGTTAAATTTTAATTTGCCACACAAGTATTTAATGTCTCCATTGGAAAAACAACAATTACTAAATATGATTGTTGGGAGGTTCAGTTGGCTTTTAAAAAACCGGTTGGTTGGAGTTGCTCTTAGTAGACTTAAAAAATAACATAACTAAGCATTTCCATTTTACCTTGTTTTGCTGTGTTGTAAACAAAAGGAAATATGTATTTAAAAGAGCCTCACTTTTCATCATGAATCAGAGGAAACAGAGAGAAACAAAGTCACCAAGCAGGGATGGGAAGACTGTGGAAGTTAATAAGTTTTGGAAAAATATGGAAGTTATCATATTAAAAGCTTGTCTCTTGTAAAAAATCATTGATTTATCTGATACTTGTAATTATATACATTCTGAGTTTGAATGTTTACCACAAGTTAAAAAATTAAATAATCAAATGAAAAATATAATGCCTTTATGTAGCTAATATTTGAAAATGAGTCAAGGCCTTGACTGTTTCCATGGCTATGGAACCATGAATTAGAGAGAGATGCTCAAAATAAGTGTGGAGACAAGCAAATTATACTTTTAATTGCTTTTCCCTCAAAAGTTGGTTCCTTCCTAACCTTGAAGAGGTGTTTAAAGCCAGTACTGTAAGTATAGATAGCTTGACTGAAAAGTAGAGACAACCAGGAATTAATGTTCTTTTCTTTCAATAACCACTCTGCCAAAATCCCTATAGGTTGTGAAAAGGTACTTTAAATACATTCCCAAGCTTCTTAGTAAGAGAATCAATCACTTTTTTTTTATACATTACATGTATGAATCGACTAAATCATATGTTCAAAATGACATTGATCAATGCAGAAGTGATTTAGAGATTCAATAATGTTGCAGAAAAAATTTCAGCTTCATAATTTGAGACTAAGCAAACCAATTATCCCCACAATTGCTGCTATAGAGAGACTTGTGTTAACAGCTGTTCTTTGACTGCTTGATTTTGTTCCGGCTGGTGCAGGAGCAGGAGGGGAAGACGTGGAGTTTGACTCAGAGACAGTGGCCACTGCAGGCAGGGGCGGGTCAACGACATCTGCAACTTCAAGGGGTGGACTTGGTGCTGTGGCCGGTGGCTGCGCCTGGGGGTCAACCAACCCCAGAAGATCACCTGCCTTAATTGGCAAGATTGGATAGGGGATATTGGCATCTATGTTAGAACACGGGCTCCCTGCAGAACCAAAGAGGTAACATGTTTATTAGCTGAAACATTGGTAGATTTCATGTGAGCCATTGAGAAAAAATCAAAGTAATAATTGTCTATGAGGGGAGGGCTGTTAGAAGAACCAAATCACTCGGTTTTAGCTAGTTTAAACTCATTTCTATTAGACAATGAATAAAGTAGCTCAAGCAATGTGTTGTTCGGCTCGATAAGCATGAACTCGATCTGTTGTATATGATGTAGAAGTTGAGTCGAGCTTAAGAGAGAATTGAAGCTTGAAAACCGAACTCGAGCCAAGCTCGAGCCTATGATAGTTAACTAGGGTTGAGCCTAAGCACATCTAAGCTCCTAAGGGTCGGCTCAATTAACATCCCTTATGTGTCCATTAATCTTGTTATCCTATGATTTTCGCAATACTAATTGCTTCTCTATAGGAAATGAAGCGAAAAAAAATTATTAAATTTTCTCAATGCGCGTTTACTATAGAGAAGCAATTAATATTGAGAAAATCATACGATAACAAGAAGCGAAAAAAAATTATTAAATTTTCTCAATGCTCCTTTACCATTATTCGTTGTGCTTAGAGGTCTTTATGTTTCTCATGTTGAATGCTTTGCTGACATGCATACATAACGAGAATTATGCATTTTTCAGCAAGAGCAATCATAATGGAATATGTGATGATTTGGTGATTGAAATAACCAAAGCAAAAGAGTATAGGGGTTGCAATACTTACTCATATATGCATTGGCNGAATTATGCATTTTTCAGCAAGAGCAATCATAATGGAATATGTGATGATTTGGTGATTGCAATAACCAAAGCAAAAGAGTATAGGGGTTGCAATACTTACTCATATATGCATTGGCCGTGGCTGGATTATCAGTTATGACCCCATCAACTTTTTGTCCAGCAATAAAAGTAGCAAGCTCAATGTAAGGATCCGCGAAGTAATCAAAGGCGAGGGAGGTAAATTCATTCCTGAGGAATGAGACATACACCGAGACATTTGCTGCATGCATTTCTTCAGTAACATTGGTGAAGGATGTCGAAAAGTAGATTGAATTGCCTAAAATGATGGACTTTCTAATGACATTCACTGCATCGGCATATTTCTTGACTTCCTCCGCTACCTGTTTGGGTGCATCACTTATTTGCTCTTTAATGTTCAATACTCTCTGATAAGTTGGAACATCCTTAAACTTTGTTAGGACTGAACTGTCATCTGATTGGATTAGTACTTTTTGAGTGGATTGCTTGTCAAAGGTGGCATTGCTCAAGGCACTGGCGACAGCATCGGTGATGCTAAGACCTTTCTCTGATGCTAGGTAGGCAGCATTCTAAGAAAGAAAATATGGATTGTTAGACAAAAATAAAGAAAGGTCTGGTGGAAACGTTATGGATATGTATATAGCCTCCTTCAGGCATCTGTACATTTCATATGGTTAAATTAGTTTCGTTTATTGAATTTTATAGGAATTTATAACTTCAAGTGAGCTTAAATTGCTAAAAGAGAAAGTAAGTGTGCATGGAATAAGAGAAACTTACTTCAATATTAATCAAAACTCCAGTAACTGCCTTAGTCTTGGCAAGTTCTAGGAATTCAGAAAGAGTCACAAACTTGCCCTTGTTCTTGTTTGCAGGGTTTCTTTGCAAGCTACTTTGCACGTCAGGGCTTGTAATTTGTGCTGAAATGAACAAGATTCACAGCATGAGGGATTGTTTCAGAGACTAAAAATGTTTAGACAAAGAGTGGAAAAAGGCTTTGTTTATGGATGATTACGCTTTAGAGATTGGATTTCGTTCCATGTGACATCAAATGAGAAAATTCCCCGGTTTGGTTGGATATCAGGGATCATTGCAGATCGGTCCATCAAAGTAGCTGCTGCAGTAGTTTTCCCTGTAAGGTCGGCTGTCTCCAAGCAGAAGGAAACTCCATCTTTTGTCATTTGGACTGAACAATCAATTATATCAGCCCCATCGTCTATGGCTTTCTGATAGGCAAGATCGGTGCTGCCAGGGTAATCCCCACTAGCTCCATTGTGAGATATGACCAAAGCTATTCATGTAAAGGCACACACTTATTTTGTGATATGGTAGCTTGTCCTTTCAGTTTTTGTACATATTTTAACTTTGCACACAATTATTTCATACCTTTCATAGTCCTGGAGGCATTCTTATTCTGAGCTAAGCATGCTGCAACCAAAAAGAGCACTGAGGTTAAAATCAGGAAATAAACAGGTAATTATGTAGTTGGTTTGTTTGTTCTGTTGTTTTCCTTCGATTGTTTTCTTGTTTTCCTCCTGCCCGACATGAGAAATTGGCAAAACATGTGAACAAACAAATCGAGAGAGAGAGAGAGAGAGAGAGAGAGAGCTGAATCTCACCAATGGCTTCTGATGCAGTAGAAGGGAAATCAGTAAGCACCCCATCAACGGAGAATTGGGAGTTATCGATAAATTGCAGGTACTCAGATGTTGGATCATAACTATAATTGTAACTCAGCATGACATCATTTGCAAAGCCAGAAGCATATACTTCAAGACCTTGTTTGTGAGCATCAGCTACAAGAGTAGTGGCAGGCTGCAAATAAAGGTCCTTAGTAACAGGCCATATGTATTCTTTTGGAACAAGAATACCCGCCGCAAATGACTTGATCATCGAAAGCTTTCCCAAGAGTGAACCATATTTTTCCTTGGTTGTAGGTTCAACTGCATCTGCCCCTAGGAACCGGAAAATGAACTTTGTCTTCGCTTGCTTTAGTTTTCCATCAAGGGTCTTCAAGAAACCAATTTCTGGGGATGAAATGTAGTCTGGATTTATGTATTTCATCGAGTCTTCAACATATTGTGCCAGGCTGAGCTTGTGCTGGGTGTAGAACATGTCATACTGCGACAGACAGCAGGAGCAACATCAAAACCATAAAACTAATGAATTGAGTCATTTTCTAGGTTGTGGATTTAGTCAGCTAAACTCCAAACTCCTCAATAAATAGAAACAAACAAAAATGTCATGACTGGTTAGTTTTGACTGATTTTGTTAGAAAAGAAAGTAGGTTTCCGGGGTTCATTGATTAGTACACCTCCAGTGCTGGTAAGGTTGGTACTCTGGTTGTACATCCCTCCGGTTTGTCGGTTGATGACATCTATGAGATTGAACAGCCAGCTGGCTTGGTTTGGTTATTCTTTTGAGAAAATTCAATTCTTATGCATGATATATTATTCATATGATGAGGTAGAAATTCATAACTTTGCGAGTGTTTATCGGCAAGAAAATCTGATATGAAATGAAACGAGAGAGCAATACCTCAATATTCAACCAAAGTTTTGACGCAGGCTTAGTTCCTACTACATCATCAGGAGTCCACAGTGGAAAAGCACCATCAAACATACTTGTTCTTGAGAATATGTTTTGTGTCACTGTATGGGAACAACATAACAAAGCAAAAGATGAGTGTCTCAAATTTCATTCATGGAACAACTTATCCACAGATCACCTGCATTTAAATAGAAAAATCATGTAAAAATTATTATGCTCTGTTCACTCTTTCTCAGTTTTCGTGCTTTTTTTTTTTTCCAGTTATTTTATTAGTGCCAGTTATATGTTTGAAATATTTGAAGAGCTAAAATGTTTGAGTTGGCTGCAATAAGATGGAGGGAAACAAGAGAAGATAAATTTTGCAGTGATGATTCAACCAGCTAATTGTTGCAAAATCTCGGTTTATTTTTGTTTCTTCTCTATCATGATCAACCAAATAAGATAATGATCCAGAAAACAGAAATTCAAAAACAGAAGTATGGTTGGTTTAGGACTTACAAAACACATTTTTGAATAGCTGATCAGCTGTATAGTCCAAGGCAAACCACCCGCGAATATCTTGCCCATTTACATTGTAAGTTTTCTGTCCTTTTGGAAAGACGACTGGAATATTTGTGGAATTGTCAAGCGTTAATGCTGACTGGCAGATACCAACACTGTCTTTGGTAAGCTGTAAATCACAGAACATAATGGTATTGGGCAAGCTTGTATCCTTGGCAAAACTATATGCATACTGGCTGGAATCAGGGAACATCCCTGAGTATCCACCACGCGCTATTACCACCGGTTCAACACCTGCAGGAACATCAAAACTGAAAGATGTAACCACAGTTCTTATGTTGAACTATGAAAATGAGAAATAAGTAAAACCAATAGGTAACAATACAAATAATGTAAACTTTTTGTCTGTAATCTATAAAGTTAGTATCATACAATTAACTGTAAAGTAATTCTTCACGATGAAGCCTGTGATAATATAATTTTCTGAAGCCTTTTGAAACCTTTAGCTAATAGGACCCTGCTCTTTTTCTCTTCTTTCCATTTAAATAAAACCTGTCATTTCTATGCCAAGCATATTTCTGGCATTTTTACAACGAAACGGAGAAACATTTCTATGTAGTTAGAACTAAATAATGGTTCTGATCAAGAAATGAGAAGAAAAATGTAATAAAAGGGAATAATATATTACCATTCAGAGTCGGCCATTTTTTTGCTGGAGGCTTCACAAGGCCCTTCTGTGCTAGAGTGGAATGAATGAACAGAAAAACAAAAAATAGATGCCTGATCATTTTCTTCCAATCCTGTTTACAACCAACTAAAGAACAAATCAATAAGATAAGTCATGTAATTGTAAACAAAAAACCCCATGCAACAAAATCCTTCAACTTATATTTCCAAAAAATTCCTATTTAGAAGCAAATATATGTGTTTATTTTGACAATTTGCGAAAAAAACAAGGAAAATAAACCTTGGCAGATGTATTCAACCCCTTAAAGCACTGTTGATTCTGCATTCATGGGTGTTGGCCCAATTTCAAATTTCCTTAGGAATCCAAAAATGGCTAAGAAAAGAAAACGTTACCTTGGATGATTTCCCTTAAAACTAGGATGTCTGTTTCAAAAATTTTATTGTCTTTCTTTGAATTTGTCATCAATTCAGTGACATTAAATATTAACTTCCAATAGAAGTATTCCACAAGAAATAAAACTTCATCGATTATTTCTTCTAGGGCAGTCTCTTCCCCCTAATTTCACTTGTTGAGATTATGCCAAACACTAATATAAAAATAGATCATGAATGCAAGATAGCTTATTTTCTTCTTGTATTTTGTGGGTTTGATTGAATCAAATGGTTGTTTAAAAAAATAATAATAACCCAAATCATAAGGTATATTCATCATGATTTCAAATTAGACAAAATTTCCATTTTTTACCAACCAAGAATTGCCCCCAACCAGGCATCGATTCAGCTTATTAAATATAATTTTTAAATGGATGCAATCACCCACAAACCATATATATCGGTTTATTCGTTATATTTCAGGTTATCATCTCGAGGTCCAAGTTTAAAATATAAAATAACATCGATGACAACTACAAAACATAATGCATTAATAATAACAAAATGAAAGAAACCCAATAGAACTTACTTGAAACCCTGATGTGTTAAATCGAGGCAGCAAGCATTTCCTATGGAGTTTCACAAGGGAAAAAAAGGGCTTGAGAAACCCAAAAGGAAATGTAGAATGGAAGGAGAGAGAGAGGTGGGAAGTTTTAGAGAATAATGATAAATGACTATTAATAGCTCAAACCCAATTCTCGCATTAATAGTTGGCCAAGTTTCAATTTTACCCATATAAAAGCATTGACCAATTTGAGCTTTTTTATTTTGGGAATGCTGTGTTTGGCTCTCTTAGCTTGTGACAGTTTGTTTTATGAGTGTATTTGGCGGGAGTGGACAGCTCTCAAGCCCAACGGTTTCTCGAATGTTGTTTCATGACATAAGTCACATGAGAAAAATTATTCATTGCAATGGTAATACGGAGTCCCGTTGTTACGTGGTATTACCAATTAATAATATACAGATAAATAAAGAAATATATTTCATACAAGTCAATAACTAGATGTAAATAAATAACTATTTACTCTCCTTCCATGTAAGTCAATAATTACTCAAGTAGTGTTTATTTTACTCATTTGAGATTTTATTATGGTATTGTGAAAACTTTGTCTTCTTAAGATTAAGGGTTCAAGCCTTCTTCTCCCCTCCCCATCCCCATCCCCAAAAAAGAAAAAATAAATAAATAAATATTATATCATCAATACTGACATAGTATCACTGTTGTATTGAATATTCTCTTGCCACGTGGGTTGCTTGTCACAATTTATTTTAGGAGGATTATTTTTCTGATTCTTCAATTGCGGTTCAATGGTCATGAAGATTTGTAAATTTAAGATGCTTTTTGAATAAGATTCAATTTGTTAATGAGAACAAATTTGATTATTCGTGTGAAAACTAAAGTAGTTGGGCTTCTCTCTAATTTCCAAATAATGAAGGATTGGAATCTATCAGCATCAATAAATTTTATTTTATTCAAGATGCACCTTGCATTCTCCATTTTTTTTTGTTTTCTAATCGAAGAGAAGTCAAATTCACATTTTTCATCTCTTTTGGAAACAAAATTTAAGGTACAAGGAAGTAGATAGAAACTATCATTCGATATGTTATAATAAAATCGGGAAACTTTATCTAGACCCATATAGTTTGTTTTATCTTTAAGGACAATCGTTCTATTATTTAAAATTTCAGTGACTCCGCTCTGGTTTATATGTCCACTTCACTTTGGCTTCTTGTCCTTAATAATTGTTTGTTGCAAAAAGTGAATGGTCTCCCAAAGGTGCCTTTGAAAAATTCTAAATTTACGCTAAAACTCTATAAATAAAAAATAAAAAATAAAAAATTTCATGTTAATTGTTATAACTTTAACAACAACACTTCTATGTTAACTCGGTTAACATTAATTTATGTACAATTGTGTGTGTGTGTGTGTGTGTGTGTGTTAGGGTCGATTTTTCAAATTTTACCTCTTCTATGAATAGGTCGCCTTCAAATTGTAAGATGTGTGGTTATGAAGAAACACACTTCTGAAAAGATTGTGAGATTACATCTTTTTGTCTCTCTAAAGTCGATNTTTCATGTTAATTGTTATAACTTTAACAACAACACTTCTATGTTAACATTAATTTATGTACAATTGTGTGTGTATGTGTGTGTGTGTTAGGGTCGATTTTTCAAATTTTACCTCTTCTATGAATAGGTCGCCTTCAAATTGTAAGATGTGTGGTTATGAAGAAACACACTTCTGAAAAGATTGTGAGATTACATCTTTTTGTCTCTCTAAAGTCGATCGAATCTGATAATAGTTTGAGTGTTGGTGGTAATGCAATTAGGTCATGTTCTATTAACCATGGCATTCTGTTAGTTAGAGTTAGAGTTAACTGCAACTACAAAATTCAGTAAGAGAGAGTCGGTGTCTCATTGTATAAATATTGATCTTGTAAACATTTACAAAGTGTGAAATACATTTGATTTCCTTCATCTATTTCTGTTATTTCCCATTTCTTAACATGGTATCAGAGTCTAACTAAAAGCTTCTTCTCATCCATGGCTTCCAATGCAAGCCAGACTTCTTCTTCTACTACTTCTTCTCACACTTTCTATCTTCATCATGGAGATAGTCCTGGAGCTATGTTAGTATCTCAATCACTAACAGAGGAGAATTACAATTCATGGAGTCNTTTAACTAAAAGCTTCTTCTGCAAGATTACTTCTCATCCATGGCTTCCAATGCAAGCCAGACTTCTTCTTCTACTACTTCTTCTCNTCTAACTAAAAGCTTCTTCTCATCCATGGCTTCCAATGCAAGCCAGACTTCTTCTTCTACTACTTCTTCTCACACTTTCTATCTTCATCATGGAGATAGTCCTGGAGCTATGTTAGTATCTCAATCACTAACAGAGGAGAATTACAATTCATGGAGTCGCTCAATGTTCATGGCTTTAAGCGCCAAGAACAAGACAGGTTTCATCGTTGGATTGGTGATATCTTGGATTTTGAATTCTTTGTCGAAAGAAATTGCAAAGAGTGTTTTGTATGTGATTCAGCCAAGGAAATCTGCGGGGATTTGAAAGAGAAATTTTCTCAAACAAACGGTCCACACATCTTTCAATTACAGAAATCAATTTCATCATTGTCACAGGCTAATCTTTCTGTAAGCACATATTATACTCAGCTAAAGGGCTTTTGGGATGAATTGATGAATTATAGGCCTTTGCCTAATAGTTCATGTGGAGCAATGAAGACTCTAGTTGATTATCAGCAATGGGACTATATCATCTAGTTCTTAATGGGATTGAATGATTCCTTTTCTCATATACGAAGCCAGATTTTGCTTCAAGAGCATTTGCCTTCAATCAACAAGGTGTTTGCCTTAGTTCCTCAAGAAGAAAAGGCAACGAGAAATTGTGATTTTTGATCCTCCTCAAAGCATTGATTCCACTGCACTTTTGAGCAGAACAAACTCTTCAACATATCAACACAATTGTAAAGGTTCAAACAAATCCAGATCTACCTGCTCTCATTGTGGAATATTAGGTCATACCGTTGATAAATGTTACAAGCTGCATGGTTATCCGTCTGGATGTCGTTTTACAAAAGGCAAGGGTAATTCTACTTCAATTTCTCATAGTAATTGGGCAAGTAAGTGGTGAGAAGTCTTTTAATGGAAATTCTCAACTGCACAGATGCCAATAGCACAAGTAGCGCTATCAATTTTCGCCACGACACGTACTAAACACGAAATTAATGAGTTGAACAAGAAATTAAATGAGTCAATGGGTTAAAATAGGTCGACACGCTTAATCATGAAAAAAATCATGTCGGGTTCATGTAAAAATCAAGTCAACCCGATTTTGATCTGATTAACCCTTATATTTTAAACAGGTTGATATAATTCGGATACGAATCCGACTTAACCCATTATAGACCCATTTAACCCGTTTATGGCAATATAGTTTGCCTATTATGTATGATTGAGGTGGTCTTAATATTATTACTAATTAGTTCTTACTTCTACTATGATAATTAGCAGTATAGTTCTTAACATTATTATGACAATATACTAGTATGGTTCTTGCTTTAAAAAACCAGATATAGTTCTTAACATTACCTGATTATCTACTGATGCATCCTCTTCATCTAATAAAGAGTCTCTGGTTCTTCCTTCTTTTTTGGTTGATCATTTTCCTTCAAATGACAACATCTCTGATGCTGATGCATCCTCTGTTCCAATATCAGTTTCTTCTCCTTCTATTGATTCTTCTTCATCTTCTCCTGGTCATGCCTTAGCCAGACAGTCCACTAGAACAAGAAGATCTCCTGGTTATTTGCAAGAATATCATTGTCAGCTCATTGCTTGTCAACCATCCAACTCAGCCTCTATGACAACTGGCACAAATTCTTCAGGTATAGCTCATGATATTTCTCAATATTTGTCTTATCAAAGATTGTCTTCGACTCATCGTATTTTTGCTCTTAATATTTCATTACATCATGAACCTCAATCTTCTCATAAGGTTGTTAAATCTCTTGAGTGGTGTGCATCTATGAATTCTGAAATTCAAGCTCTTCAGGACAATAACACATGGACACTTACCTCTCTACCATTTGGTTAACATCCCATTGTTTGCAAATGGGTATATAAAATCAAATATAAGTCCGATGAAACAATAGAAAGCTATAAAGCAATGTTTGTTGTCAAGGTTTATACTCAAAGAGAATGGTTGGATTATTTTGAAATTTACTCTCTAGTTGCTAAGTTTACAACCATCAGGTGTCTTTTGGCCTTAGCAGCAATCAAATGCTGGCATCTTTATCAAATGGATGTTCACAATGCCTACTTACATGAAGATCTTCATTAAGAAGTTTACATGAGTTTTCCACCTGGTTTTGCTAAACAGGGTCTCACTCAAGTTTGCATATTACAAGTACTTATATGTCTGAAGCAGGCTTCTAAACAATGGTTTTCTAAACTGTCTCATGTTGTTCTTGGTTATGGTTTTGTTCAATCAACATCAGATAATTCACTGTTCATCAAGCATACTGATACATCTTTTATTGCTATGTTAGTATATGTGGACGATATTATTGTAGCTTTTGACACTCCATCTGCAGCTACTGATCTCAATCAGTTCTTACATAGCCAGTTCAAACTCAAAGATCTTGCTTCTTTGAAATATGTTTTTTTGGGTCTTGAAGTAGTCAGGTCATCCAAGGGTATCTCAATATGTCAAAGGAAGTTTGCTCTTGAATTTATTCAAGACTCAGGTTTTCTTGGTGCTAGACCAGCTAAGTCACCGCTGGAGCAACATTTGAAGCTAGATAAACTCACTGGTTCTGAAGTTCCCGATCCTTCTGCTTATAGAAGACTTATAAGTCGTCTCTTACTCTCACCAGACCTGATCTCTCTTATGCAGTCCAAGTTCTCAGTCAGTATATGGACACACCACGCCAACCTCACTTAGATGTTGCTTATCGCATTATGAGGTATCTTAAATCCACAATAGCTCAAGGTCTTTTCTTTTAAGCTGTGTCAGAGGTCCATCTTAAGGCTTTCTGTGATGCAGACTGAGCTGGTTGTCCTAATACAAGAAGATTAGTTACAGGTTTCTGTGTTTTTCTTGGACATTCTCTTATTTCTTGAAAATCCAAGAAACAGTCAACAATATCTCGCTCTTCTATAAAGGTAGAATATAGAGCCATGGCTTCTACTTCTTGTGAAATTACTTGGCTGATTGCTTTGCTTGCCGATTTTCACTTTCCACACCCTTTTCCTGCTTTGCTATTCTGTGACAATAAATCTGCCTTACATATTGATGCTAATTCTGTTTTTCATGAAAGAACAAAGCATATCGAATTGGATTGTCATTTTGTCCGTGATAAGATTCAAAGTGGAGTCATCAAAGCTCTTCATGCCACATCTTCTAACCAGCTCAGTGACATCTTTACCAAACCTCTTGGTTTACCATCCTTTTCTCTTCTTCTCAGCAAGATGGGTGTACACATCATTCACACTCCATCTTAAGGGGGTGTATTGACATCTATATCAACTTTACTGCAGTAACAGATAGCAACAGATAAGCCATATCAGAGATATTAGTGTTAAAGCTGCATCAGAGCATCAACCGAAGCTCCTCTACACTTACACCAGAGCTAATCCTCACTGGAGCTCCTCTACATCTTGTCTGAGCTAATACAAGCTGGAATGAGCTGGCATGATCAAGATATTGAAGACAGTTAGTTTCTTATGTTCGAATTAGTTTGTTAGAGTTAGTTAAGAGTTAACTCTAGTAATTAATTAACTTAGATTCGGTTAGTTAGAGTTAGAGTTAACTGTAACCATAGAATTTAGGAAGAGAGAATCGATGCTCTCATTGTATAAATACTGATCTTGTAAACATTTACACTGTGAAATACATTTGATTTCCTTCATCTATTTATGTTATTTCTCATTTCTTAATAGACAATGAATAAAGTAGCTCAAGCAATGTGTTGTTTGGCTTGATAAGCTTAAACTCGTTCTGTCGTATATGATGAAGTTGAGTCGAGCTTAAGCAAGAATCAAAGCTTGGCAACTGAACTTGAGCCAAGCTTGAGTCTATGATGGTTAACTAGAGTTGAGCCTAAGCACATCTAAGCTCCTAAGGGTCTGCTCAATTAACATCCCTTATGCGTCCATTAATCTTGTTATTCTATGATTTTCTCAATAATAATTGCTTCTTTATAGGTAATGAAGTGAAAAAATTTATCAAATTTTCTCAATGCTCGTTTACGATTATTCGTTGTGCTTAGAGGTCTTTATGTTTCTCTTGTTGAATGCTTTTTTGACATGCATACATAAAGAGAATTATGCATTTTTCAGGAAGAGCAATCATCATCGGAATATGTGGTGATTGTAATAACCAATACAAAAGAGTATAGGGGTTGTAATACTTACTCATAAATGCATTGAAAGTTGTTGTATTATCAGTTATGACCCCACCAACTTTTTGTCCAGCAATAAAAGTAGCAAGCTCAATGTAAAAATTCATTCTTGAAGAATAAGACATACACCGAGACATTGCTGCATGCATTTCCTCAATAACATTGGTGAAGGATGTCAAAAAGAATTTTGAATTGCTTTCAATAATGAACTTTCTAATGACTCTCATAGCATCAACATCTTTCCTAGCTTCCTCGACTACCTTCTTGGTGCATCACTTATTTTTTCTTCAATGTTCAATACTCTCCGGTAAGTTGGAACATCCTTGAACTTTGTTAGGACTGAACTATCATCTGATTGGATTAGTACTTTTTGAGTGGATAGCTTGTCGAATGTGGCATTGCTCAAGGCACTGGCGACATCATCGGTGATGCTAAGAACTTTCTCTGATGCTAGGTAGGCAGCATTCTAAGAAAGAAAATATGGACTGTCAGACAAAAATGAAGAAAGTTCTGGTGGAAACGTTATGGATATGTATATATCCTCCTTCAGGCATCTGTACATTTCATGTGGTTAAATTAGTTTCGTTTATTGAATTTTATAGGAATTTATAACTTCAAGTGAGCTTAAATTGCTAAAAGAGAAAGCAAGTGTGCATGGAATAAGGGAAACTTACTATAATATTAATCAAAACTCCAGTAACTGCCTTAGTCTTGGCAAGTTCCAGGAATTCAGAAAGAGTCACCAACTTGCTCTTGTTTTTGTTTGTAGGGTTTCTTGGCAAGTTACTTTGCATGTCAGGGCTTGTAATTTGTGCTGAAACGAACTAGATTCGCAGCATGAGGGATTGTTTGAGAGGCTAAAAATGTTTAGACAAAGAGTGGAAAAAGGCTTTGTTTATGGATGATTAAGCTTTAGAGATTGGATTTCACTCCATGTGGCATCTAATGAGAAAATTCCCTGGTTTGGTTGGATATCAGAGATCATTGCAGATCGGTCCATCAAAGTAACTGCTACAGTAGTTTTCCCTGTAAGGGTGGCCGTCTCCAAGCCGTAGAAAACTCCATCTTTGTCATTTGGACAAAACAATCAATTATATCGGCCCCATCGTCTATGGCTTTCTGATAGGCAAGATCGGTGATGCTAGGGTAATCTCCACCAGCTCTATTATGAGATAGGACCAAACCTGATTATGCACAAAGTAGGTTATGCTAGATTGATCGAGTGGATGATGTAAGGTAATTAATGAATCAATTAATAAAAAAAGATAAAGATTGGTTGGCTAGGCTGAGATGACCAAACAACTGAAGGTGGCGGCAGTGGCTGGAGAATTTTATAAATGAGAGAGTATCAGGTAGTAGGTGAGAGAGAGAGAAAGAGATCAAGAGTAAACTTATGGTGTGGTGTGTGTGATCTCTCTATGCGTAGAGGGCTTATAATTTATAGGCACAGAGCACTAGATAAGGCGGTGACATGAAGGTCAGGCTACTAGTCTTCTAGAAAGGATAGTTACAATTAAAGATAATTATAGTTAAACATAAGTGTTATCTTCAAGTAATAGTTATCCTGATGATTACTTTTCACATGCGTTAACTCTTTGAGCCTCTTGGATCCTCGACTGGGCTGAGGTTATGATCTGAGATCTTCCATTTTACTATTTAGACTTATCCCACTAATTAGGCTTGGCCCAGCTAGATCTGACCTCATCAAAACCTATCCATGTAAAGGCGCACAATTTTTTCGTGAAATGGTAGTCTACTTGTCCTTTCAATTTTTGTACATATTTTAACTCTGCACACAATTATTTCATACCTTTCATAGTCTTGGAGGCATTCTTGTTCTGAGCTAAGCATGCTGCAACCAAAAAGAGCATTGTGAGGTTAAAATCAGAAAACAAAACAGGTAATTATGTGGTTGGTTTGTTTGTTCTATTATTTTTCTTCGATTGTTTTCTTGCTTTCTTCCTACCGGGCATGAGAAATTGGCAATGGCTTCTGATGTAGTAGAAGGGAAATCAGTAAGCACCACATCAATAGAGAATTGGGAGTTATCCATAAACTGCATGTACTTGGATGTTGGATCATAAGTATAATTGTTGATAATGCACAAAATGACTTTGCAAACCACCTATTAAGTGATTGAAAATAATTGCAGTAATTAAAGTAAAAAAGGATGGAGGAGACAAGATTTATAATAGTTCAGTCAACGTAACCTACGTCCACTCTTGAATGACTTTGGTCGCCAAGTACTTTATTAACTCAAGGGCGTGAGGAACAGAGAGTACAAGTTTTGAAGGAGAGAAGAGAATCGTGCTCGGATAAAAGTGTCATGCCCCCAAGTGTTGGTGGTGCTTACAATTTATAGGCGCCCCCTAACAGGTTGTGGTAACTTTACAGTAATTAAACAATTATTTCAGTGGAGCTCACGACTTCTTCTCAACAAGCGAAGTGGTTGAGGTGTTCTCCACAAGACTCGGTCCGAGGTGATGGACTATTTCCTTGGCGGTGCAGGTAAGACTCACATGCTTTCTCTCTCTTGAAGACGTAACTAAGTTGATTAGTTTGACTGGACTTGGGCATAGTGGGTTTTTATAAGATTGGGCTCTCCAATTGAGACTGAGTTTTTCACATGAATTGGGTTATTTAGGCTTGACCCATCAATTGTAACTCAGCATAACATCATTTGCAAAGCCAGAAGAATATACTTCAAGTCCTTGTTTGCGAGCTTCAACTACAAGAAAAGTGGCAGGTAGCAAATAATGGTCCTTAGTAAATGGCATATGTAATCTTCTGGGACAAGAATACCCGATGCATATGACTTGATCATCAAAAGCTTTCCCAAGAGTGAACCATATTTTTCCTTGGTTGTAGGCTCAACTGCGTCTACCTCTAGGAACCAGAAAATGAACTTCGTCTTTGCTTGCTTTAGTTTTCCAACAAGGGCCTTTGAGAAACCAATTTTTGGGGATGAAATGTAGTCTGGTTTTATGTTTTTTTCATTGAGTCTTCAACATATTGTGCAAGGTTGAGATTGTATTGGGTGTAGAACATGTCATACTGTGACAGACAGCTAGAGCAACACCAAAACCATAAAACTAATGAATTGAATCATTTTCTAGGTAATGGATTTAGTCAGCTAAACTCCAAAGTCCTGAATAAATAGAAACAAACAAACATGTCATGACTGATTTTGTTAGAAAAGAAAATAGGTTTCAGGGGTTCATTGGTTAGTACACCTTCGGAGCTGGTAAGGTTGGTACCTTGGTTGTCCATCTCCGATTTGTCAGTTGATAACATCTATGAGATTGAATAGCCAGTTGGCTTGGTTTGGTTATTCTTTTGAGAAAATTCAATACTTATGCATGATATATAATTCATATGGATGAGGTAGAAGTTCTTATCTTTGTAAGTGTTTATTGGTAAGAAATCTGATATCAAATGAAACGAGAGTGAGAAAGGGAGAAAGAGAGAGAACAATAATTGAATATTCAACCAAAATTTTGAAGCAGAGCTATGGTGTTTCTAATAATGCACTCCATTGCTTCGGAATAGAGCTATGAAACTGATGAATCCTGCAAATAGTTGGCTCTATCGAACCAAATAACCATCTAAGAATAGCACAATTCTCAGAGAACCACACAGAATATCTAGGATCGTTATTAGTTAGCTTTGAATGAGATCCCTTCAGCCAACCAGACTTCTCTGCACGACCTAAGAAAAATTGGAATGAGCGTGACCAGCAGAGTTACGGTCATTTAACAACTGTGTCGTAACCTTCTGAGAGATCATACCCAGCATTACCAATAATACAACTGTGTCAGTAGGTACTGTATACTGATCAAACATAAAAAGTCAGAGAACCAGGTGGTACATTTCAGATGGAAGTACTAACAGTAGGGGTCTCAACAGTAAGGATCTCACCAGTGGGGTCTTAACCGTAGGAGTCTCAAGACTCTCAGTAGTAGTCATATCAATAATAATATGTGGGCACCCATGATAGAAAATACTCTAAGATAAATAGAAAGATAAAATGAGAAAGAACAATATATCTCCAGTAGAACAATATGAACAAATAAAGAAGGTCTAGAAAGTTCCTAAATAATCAAGTCACGGTGCCCAAAAAATCAATAAATATATAAGCGATCTACTGCATCAAAAGCATATCAACAAAGAAAGGATTCAACCCCTCTTAAAAAGGTCTTAAATGTTGCAACCCCAGTAAAATAAAAAAAATCAGTGGCGCAACAAGAGATGGCTACACTGTGAAGAGCGCGAAGCACAAAGGAAGGGNAAAAACTCTTTACTACAATACACACTCAGTGTTTTCTCCTTCCTTTCTCTCTCTCAAAGACTGACTAGATCGTCGGAGGGGATACGCTAGAAAACACTCTGGCGCCCCTCTAACTTGTTCTTCTTTGTTCCAAGAACCTCTTTCAGCCTTACTGGATCGTTCTTCCGTTCCCAGGGTCTCCCATTGCCGTTCCAGGTTACCACCGGACCTCGCAGGCTGTTCCAAGCAGCGTGTTTGGTCACTCAACCAGCTCACTCGAGTTCACCAAGGGAGAGATCTGTTCTCGTTTTTTATATTGTGCAGGATCTTGCACGCACACTGTTGTTCTGTTGATGGAATAAGGTGAAGAACTGTCAGTGGATTGAGGTTGGTGATGCTTTCAGTGATGCTGCTGGTAGTTGGTCGTATTGGGTTGCATGGTATTTGAGATGCTGTCAGTGATGCAGCAGGTTGCTGGTTGTATTGGGTTGCTGGGTGGCTGTCGGTGCTGTGGAGTTACTGGTCGTAGAGGCATAGGGTTAGGATTAGGGTATAACCCTAATACCGACTTGTAATATCTGTGAGTGAAAAGGGATACAAATTAATTGTAAAGTCTCGTATATATAGCTAAACAATAGTATAAAAAAACCAAATTATAATTTCAACAATTTTTACTGCATCATCAGGAGTCGATAGTAGAAATGCACCATCAAATTTCATTAATGCAACAACTATCCACGGATCACCTCCATTTAAATTGAAAAATCATTTAAAAAATACTATGTTTTGCTCAGACGATTCCACCTGCCTACTGTTGCACAATCTCGAGTTTCTTTTCGTTTCTTCTCTATTGTGATCAACCAAATAAGATACTGATCCAGAAAACAGAAAATGAAAAACGGAAGTATCGTTGTTTTAGGACTTACAAAACCCATATTTGAATAGCTGATTAGTTGTATAGTCCAAGGCAAACCACCCACGAATATCTTGCCCATTTACATTGTAAGTTTTCTGTCCTTTTGGAAAGACGGCTGGAATATTTGTGGAATTGTCAATCGTTAATGCCGACTGGCAGATACCAACACTGTCTTTGGTAAGCTGTAAATCGCAGAACATAATGGAATTGGGCGCACTATTACCACCGGTTCAACACCTGCAGGAACATCAAAACTGAAACATGTAACCACAAAATTCTTATGTTGAACTATGAAAATGAGATATAAGCAAAAACCAATAGGTAACAATAGAAATAATGTAAACTTTTCCTCTGTAATATATGAATTTAGTATTATACAATAAACTGTAATAGGATACTACTCTTTTTTTCTTCTTTCAATTTAAATAAAACCTGTCATTTCTATGTCTAAGTAAGAGACTCTTTCTTTTCTTTGATTGATGGCCTTTCGAGTGTCTATTCCTGAGTGTAATAGGATACTACTTTTTTTTCTTCTTTCAATTTAAATAAAACCTGTCATTTCTATGTCTAAGTATACTTCTGGTCTTTTTACAATGAAACGGAGAAAAATTTATGAAATTGAGAACTAAATAATGGTTTTGATCAAGAAATGAGAAGAAAAAAAATAATAAAAGGGAAT